TTCATAAATGCCTTAAAGTATTCCATGTTTGGAAGGCACTGTCTATATTGTGGGTGTTAGAAAAGAAAACTTACACCTTCTCTTACAACAGACAGTTTTACGTTTGAATTAATTCAATAAAATTTCAGACCAGTAGCCCTAAATGATCCCTCATTTTCAGAATTAAGTGTTTTTTCACAAAAAATGGAACACAATGCAATGTAATCTATGGAATCAGGAAAAAGAAGGCATATCTTAGAGGAAAAAGTTTTAATTTCCCTAGATAATGAGCACAAGGAAAGGAAAGAAGTCTTGGGTGGGAGGAAAAACATGACAATCTGCCAATCTAAATTTTGCTCCTCAAATTGGGGGGGAGTTCTTAGAGCAATTTCTCAGTCATATAAAAAAACACAGCCTTATATATACAATTCAATGAGAAATAGTACTTTAAGATTAATAGAATATATAAAGTGCTACACATAGCAAATATTTAGTGCTAATTGTTGTAAATACAGTAAACAAATGAAAAACAATAGGAAAGAGACAGACGGGCTCACATTTGTCAAAATGATTGTCAACATCCTGTGAAGAAAACGGTAATAAATCTGATCACTTGATATGATATGAGGGAGACATGCATATTTTTGTAGTAACTTCTCGTGAGTTCTCCACTTTAAAGAAGTTGCTGCTCTCTGTTCTGCTGTTGTTAATGCAGGAATCAAGTCAGGAATAGACAATAACTAGAAATAAAAATATAAACGTTAAAGTAATTTTACATCTTCTAGCTGTATGTCATGTTTACTATGCTTAAAAAGCACATCATAACAATGTAAGAAGGGAAGAGATTTTAAGGGGTCAATTAATTCCTCTCCTCAGACAGGATCAGCTACACTGTGACCATTTTCAGTAGATATTAGTCTAACTTGTTCTTAAAAAAATGTAATGATTGGGATTAAACAATCTCCCCTAAGCAGTAAATTCCACTTAACTAGTCAAAAAGCTATTCCAGTACCTAACTAAACACACTTTCACTTCATTTCTTTTCCTCCTCCTAACAAAGAAAAACTAATCACCGTTCCCTCTGTAATAACCTTTTACAGATATGAAGACCACTATGACAACCCCCCCCAGTCTTCTCTTTCTCAAACCAAATAAATCCCATTTTCCTCTTAGCCTCTTAAACTTTGCAGTTATTCTTCTCAGCTCCCTAATTTTAGTAGGAATTATATACCTTTTCTCAGTAGGAGGCAAAGACTTCTTTGTCTTTGCCAAGCTAACTTCTCTTTAGGACTAAGCAATGGAGTGCCACACTTGACGTGGCACTTTTTATATGTTATATACATTTACAGCTGTAAACATCTGGCAAATTCACATTTTAAATTACACTCCCAACTTTTGCTCATACCAGAAAATAAATTTATTCAGTTCTTATATTGTTGGAAGATTTCAATTTCTCTATACATTTAGGAAGTATGCTCAAAAAAGCATCTTGAAACAGGAGATGATCTTTTATGTTCCATTTTACAGGTGAGGAGTCACTGAATAAACCATCATCCAGAGCCACATACAACTAAATTAGCAAAATCAGGAGCTGAATACAGATCTCCTAAATCCTAATTCAGTGCCTTTACCTCAGGAAACAGGCATCCTCCTAGCAGAAACTGTGTCTGAAAATGGCAACCATGGGCAGTCGCCACATCAATATGAAAAAAAAAATTAGGTGTTAGCTATCACTCCTTTAGCATGAAACCAAGTTTTGTTTTAACTTAATGATTGTATTTCAAAATTTGATCTATTTCAGCAAATCTGTGGTTAATTAGAAAAAGAACATGGATAAACTGTTCATTTTTATATTAAGTCTAATCTTTCAAAACTTTTTTTTATTTTAAAGTTTATAAAGTCAACAAGCAATCAAAAAAACACAGAAACTTTATATCTCTCCAAAGCAGAAACTAATCATGAAAGCCTTTTCATACAATATATGTCTAAACAACTTTGCTACTACCTTCATTTAGAAAACAAATTAAAAAAACATGAGAATACCCACCTTGCTTTCTGATCCACTGTTTTCTCCTCCATTTGTCATTAGTTCAAGGATTTCAGGAAGGTGACCTACCAGGGCATCTAACACCTATTTAAAGAAAGGCTGTATGAATGAGGTCTGTAAATTAACTCTATCCCAGCCAAAACCAGCACAATTCTTAAGAAAGATCTGTATTTCATAGACAGTAAGAGCCTCGACAAACACAAAGAAACTTTTTTTTTGTATCTGTCAGCTGAATCTTAAAAGCAGTTTTTCCTGCTTTAAGAAAAACTGCAGTTGATAAATTAAAATAGAATATATAGCCTGTATAAGTAGAATAACCTTACTTTCAAATCTTGTAATACTTGAAACTAGACTAGAAAAGTACATAATTAAATATTTTTGGCACCAATTCTGACTGAGGTGGTATATAAGATAAAGGACCAAATATTTTTTATTATTTAGATAATTGTATAGGCATGAAACCAAGGAATTTTTCAAAATGATCAGCTGCTTCTGAGTGTCAACTTTCAGGTGTTCAACTTGAGAAATCTTTTAAGATGGGTCAGAATTTCATAAACCATAAGTAGATGTTCTATGAACACTTTTAATTTCCTTGAAAATGTCTAACAAAGGGTACCAAAACAAAAAGGAGCACCTGAAAGCAAAACTCATTTTTCCATGCCATATCCACAGATCATACATAGAAAACAAAAAAGATCAACTATTGGAATAACTACTGTCAGAGGAAATGGTGATTTTGTCTCAAACATAAATATTTGTCTTTTTCAATCCAAAAAAGTCTCACTACATTGTCTGCAGTATAGCTAAGTGATTCATGTTTTATGCAGGTTGAAACCAAGGTATACTAAACTAAACTGTCTCATAAACACTCACAGATTCTGTACCAGATCTTGGACTGAAACTCTTTCTATAAATCTTGATCTTTGAACCATACACAACTTCATCTCCTCTTCAGTTGGAGAAATGAAAATAAAACAAAGCAAAACCCTTGAACCTTTGCTATCAGTAATTATTTTAATACAGTATCAAAACCAAATCTTTCCACAGACTTTGTAAGGTAATAAATAATATAGCAATTAAAAGAATTTATAATTAATATTTTTAAAAAGCTAATAAATTCATTGTGGGTTTACTAAATTCAAACACCTTCCTATTTTCCTCCTTTTTATTCACAGAAGGCTGGCATCTTTATGAAGCATCTGTGAAACAGAAGTAAAAGCTGTTGATCATTTCAAACAGTCACTGTACTGTCTTATTGCAGAGTTATTAAACATCAAGATAATCTGCCTCAATGTAACAAGCAAAAGAAAGTTCCAATAAAAGTATATTACCTCCAGTGACTCATCCTGTAATAGTGTAACCAGTTCTTTATGTATTGTATACACACCAGAATTTAAAAGCTTAGCAACCTAAAAAATGACAGTAAAATAGCAAGGTGAAACATTCTTTAGTTCCATGGCACTACAACAACTACACTAGAAGTGCTTACTTTACAGTAAGCATGAAGAAGCGAGGCAGAACAACTGTTTAATATCAACCTTCTAAAGTTGTGTACTTTCCCATTGATTACATTAAAAATATGCTTATGTAAAGAATATGAGTCAAGAAACAGGCCTATTACCTAATCATGAAACACGCTTTTAGAATTAACTCTATTTCACATTTACCAAGTATTTTTAGGACTGCACTGTAAGGCTAGAAAAAATCCTTCTGGAATATTCAAATGTTGTACTTCATGCTCCTTAGGAGAGTTAACAGTCAGTCAGCTATATAATTTACAAAAGATAATATGTAAAAATTGGCTTCGTCTGTTCTGAACTTTAAGTTTCCCCAACCTTCCATGTGAAGTTTTCACTCCTTACTTCTTTGGGGTTTTTTACTGTGATTCAGAAGTCACATATAAATTTCTAAAAACCACCAAAAGTCCATCTCCACACTGTTAAAAAGGTTTTATAGCAAATATGAGAAAAAACTGAGGAATGAGATTTTTGCCATATGGAGTATTTAGATGATGTTTTTTAATGGTTTTCTTTGTTTATATAAGCCAAGTGAAAATAAGACCTTACTTCCAATCAAGATGAAGCTTTAGATAAATGGCTACAGAGAGTTTATTTAAAAAAAAAAAAAAATCCATCTAGCATTGAATGCCATAAATTACATATTTCTGGCTGTCACGTGGTTGCAAATTATGGTATTAAAAATAAATCAACCAGCACTAAATGTATATTCAGACCACTGTATAACTTTACAGGTTTTTTAAATGAGATAAAATACTTTACTTATATTCAGGCAGAACCTTAAGTGTGTTATACATCTGACATGAAACATAATGTAGAATCATATGCTGATTTTATAATTTCAACAATTACCTTGGATTATCATTTGCTAAGACAAGGCATCAACAGGTAAAGAGAACTGGAAATCCATCCATCTTCCTTAAGATGGTGGAAATAAAGCCACCTTGGCTGCATTTATGCCTCTACTAGTGATTTAAATACCTTCAGCAAGCTGCTTAACTTACCAATTTCCACAGCAACAAAATGGGATGAAAAGCTAGCTCAAGGACTGAAACACAAGGATTCTCAGTAAAACACTATGAAAACCTTGACGATCTCCCTATATGGGTTACAACCATCACAAGAGAGTTATATTCATTTCTGGAATTCACCCCATATAGCTAATAATATCTATGCAGCTGTACATTTTTGAATTTTTATGAAAATAATACAGTGGCACTTATATAAACTGAATGGCATAATAAGAATACATATGCTTTTACATCTGCATAAACTTCCAAGTAGTTTCATATTAAATGCGAGCATTTAACGTAGATTTGATACATATAAACATTTTCCACAGAACACCAGCATAGCAGCAAACTGTACAGTCCTGAAGAAGGTCTTCAGGACCATAAGTGGCAAGTTCCTTTTTCCTCTTTGTCTTGTTATTCTCTAATAGCATTCAAAACCTTAAAATATTCTAATTAGTACAATTGCTTATGTTTGTGGTACTAGACCAGTTTAAGTTTCTTCCAGCTTTTGCTCCTTAAGAGCTCACTTAGCAATAGGCTCTTGTAGCCAAATGTCACACAACTTAAATACTAGTGTGTGTATATAGGCTGTATTTACGTATTAGAAGGGATTGAACACCTTTGACGAACTAAATTTCAACAAGTTTTCTCAAGCCTTTTTCTTTTGGTTGAACAGTCACAAATGTAAGCTTAAAGAAGAAAACAACATAAAACAAAAACATGTAAGTACTAACAAAGTACCTTTGTAGACTTACTTCATAGAAGCTTGTGGCCATAGTATATCTGACGGGAACTTCAGGGTCATGACAAAGGCAGAAGAATATAGAATATAGCTCTAAATGGAAGTTCTTTGGATCCACAAAAACAATCATGGCCTGTGGAAAGATAAAGTCTTTCATTAACTGTATAGCTGAAGGACCACACTATCAGAAATTATCAGATGAAAACATTGAGTTACAACTAGCAAGACACTTGGGAGATAACAGGTTGTGATTTTAAAGAGGAAATGTGACATTTTTGATGGCTGTGTCAAAACACAGGCATCAGACAAGTTCTAGAGTTGAGAACTAAACTGGATTTACATATCTTCCAGACATGCTGCAGGCTTTTCTTTTGAAAACATAGATTAAAAACACAAGATATAAAACCTTAGTTTTTATAAATATTATTAATGTTTCGGTACACTAGTGGAAGCTGCAACTGGAGACTTCAAAAACAAAGTACATTTTAGCAAGCAGTAAAGCAAGCATCTAATTTCAACATAATTGTGTGTGTATATACCTCGTTTTTGCTCATATAAACCAACAGATGTCTACCTATATACATGGTGCTTGCCTTTAGAAGGCAGAATAAAAATAACTGTCTACTAGCTCTTGGTAGAAATACAAAGTAGATTTACAGAAACATGAGTGGTAAATTTGAAGACCTCACATAAACTTGAAAAGACTTTTTGTATTCAGGCAGGAACACAACTAAAACATGAATCTAACCATTCAGATTCAATCTTCAACTCCCTGTAATGTCACGACACAGCAAATGTGAAAACCTACCTTTGAGTAGTTTGAAATTGGGGACTCTCACAGCAATTTTCTCAATGCCTTTGTGCTAAGGGTTTGGAGAAAATGTGTAGGAAAGAACGAGACCAGTGACCTCTTAGAACAGCACTCTCTCAGTCAAAACCTGCCAATAATTTTCTGAGGCTCTGCAAAGAGGAATCTTTCCTGGTAACTCTTTTGGACAACCTCTACTTTAAGCCATTAACTTGAACTTTCCAGGAGAGAGCTAGAATCTAGCTAACAATGCACAATTCGGCAATAACTTCTCTATCATTCATGCAGTCCTATTTAGTGAACTATACGCATGACACAAATTATTTAACCTTAAATTAAAGTTACTTACTGGAAAATTGTAAGCACAGTTCTTCCTCACTGAAATATATTTCTTTTCCTGTTCCAGAGTTTGAAGTTGTAGTTGATTATCATTGTGTCCATTTTCCTGCTGTAAACCCAGCGTGGAAAGCTTCTTATAAAATTCCAAAAAACGCAAGTGCTGTTCAGGAGTAAAAATGCCTGGGGGGGCAGGGAGAAAGTTTACTTTTATTGTTACAAATGCTATTAATAATGTCCAAAAACAAAATCTCATTTACAAATCTATCAAATACGCCAATTTTTATTCTCCCTCCCTCCCATACCGAGAGTCTAGTGGAGTATCATCAGTACACTTTATACAGAAAAAGTGATTACAGAAAAATGACAGCTAACTATAATACAGTGAAACCTAATTTCTGTTTACATAATTCTTGAAATACTCAGGATTTTAGCTGCAGGATTGTGAATATATTTGTTTGTTCCATTGATACTAGTTTCTTCTTGATTACATTTTTAGATCTTTATGGAGCTCAGTCATATGAAGAATGCATGTCTGCAGCAACTTGAAAAATTAGGCTATGTTGCTACAGATAAGAGATATAAGAACAAAATTAGAAAACTCAGAACAAACTGGAAGACAACTAGCAAGATGACTTCAAAAATTACATGTCATTTTATAAGTACATTAATAATATGAGAACGATCAAGGAAAGGCTTAGGTTTTTACTCAAGAGAGAGAGGAAAGCTATCAGTGGTTGGTACCAAGAAGGCTGAAATGCTTGATGCTTTTATTTTCTTTCTCAAACTCTACTAGTGTCATCAGGCTCAGTACAATTAATAACAGTGACAAAGATTCAAGCTTTAAGTAGAGAAGGAACAGGTCAGTGAAACATGAGAGGTTTTCAAAATGTGCAGGGTCAGATGTGCTTCATTCCAGTATTCAAAAGTATTTAAAGTACTAGCTGCTGAAATCTTAAACAAGTGAGATATCAGAATGGAAAAGGGCTGAAGTGGTACAGGTATTTAGTAGTTGGAGAGGGGAAGGATAAGCCATACAATTACAGATCTGTCAAATTATTTCCAATTTTTTTTTTAAATTGGAACAAAAAAAAAAAAATCTACTTGTAAATACCAAAAAGGAAACAAGAAAATGAGCAGCAGCCAACATGGCAAAAGCAAAATTTTTCAAACTGATTCCATTTCTTCAAGTCTAACAGGACCTGTTATCGAGTACTAGATATTCTGACTGAATACAAAGGAGGCAGTAAAGGTCATGTTTTTCATAAGCAAAATAAGGGATCAGGAAAGAGAGATGAAAAACTATGAAGTTGCTGCAAAACCGCTTGGAAAAGCAGTTAAGAGAAAGTTACCCATGGGTCACGGACAAGATAGGCAACTGTATAAAGAAAGGTCTATCCTAGTCCTGGTACTATTCAGTATTTTCATTGGGTTTTTTGATGTTGGATTACAGAATACGCTTATTAAATATTCTGATAACATCAACCTAGGAGGGAGACTGTTAGTTCTTCAGAAGATAGTTTAAAATGATCTTCAGAAACTGGACAGATGGTCTTAAAACTTTAGACTATTATTCCATTAGGACAGAGATAAGGTACCATGCTTAGCCAGATATGCATTGCCTGCACAAGGCCAGGAAAGAGAAAGACTAATTAGATGACAGTTTTATCAAAATAAAAAAAAAAAACCAACCAAACAAAAAACCCCCACACCCAGACTTTTGAGCTACTTCTGTTTATAGGCTGCACTTGAACAAATAATGTCAAACTATCGCAAACTGTTGCAAAAAAAGGCAATTTTTCATACTGAAAAATGTAAACAGCAATATAGCTTGCAAGACACATGAAGTAACCCTTTCACTTTGTTCAGCTCTCATAAGGCGTAACACTTCAAGAAAAATGTGAACTTGCCAGATGGAGTTTGGAGGTGAAGAGAGATCAGCAATTAAAGTCAGTCAACCTAGAGAAAAGAAGACTGGGAAGACATGATAAAAACAGGATGGACTATCCTAGCTCTATGTTTCTGTAAGTAACAGTTTGACACTGTGGAACAGCCCTTTTGAGTTATTTGTAGTGAAGCAGCGGTCACTTTGATAGTCTCCAACATGATCATAAAGGATCATTTTAAAGGTCTGTAAGAAAGACCAAAGGATTTAAGAGTCTAGGGGAAAATTCTCTAAAATGTAAAAACATGATTCTGTGCTGCCCCGCCACAGCCGAGCTCTGTATAGAGGGTATATGATGGGCAGAATGATCAAGGAAAGATCTGCTGTGCTCAAGTGTTAAGGTACAGAAAACCACAAAAATTATGGGTAGCGATTTATGCTCAGCTGCAGCTGGGAATCCACATGCTGTTAGGTCTCCTTTCTCCCCTGAAGTTCCTTATGGGCCACGCTCTGTACTGTGCCTCAAAAAGGTATCAAGCACAGAAGTGAACATACACAGTTAACATCATACTGTGTTTTCAAAGGTTTCTAGTTTCAAAAATTCAGTCATCCAACTCACAAGCTCCAGAATATCCAAGAAGGAGTCAAAATAAATCAGTCAAACCAATAAACACAAACCACCATGTTTCCATCTCTGACCCTGTCTAAACAAAAAACTCTGTCCCTGTCTAAACATAAAAAACCCAATAAACAGATGGACACCCAAAGAGGAAATTCATAAAATCCAGTATTTATGCAATAGATTATTTCAGACTTTTACTTCTATATTTCCTTTCCTAATTATAATTTCATTTGATACATTCAAATCTGGATATTTTCCAAGGGTTTCAAATTCTCCAATCTCCCCTAATTTTTAAGATTTTTTTTAGAAGAACATTAAATCATACCATATAATCCATTACAGAGTTTCCCTAAATGGAAAGATAAAGAAACTAGGATAGATTCATCTGCTTTGAAGGATTTTTCACAGAATGATTTCACTAAGGGGAGCACAGTTTGACTCCTATCATCTGAAAAACAAAAGAAATTTTTGAAGTTAGCCATTTGTCAACACCTAAAAAAGAGCACAGAGAGTGGGCTTCCATAATAAGTTATGCAAAATACCATTTTTATATCACATTATACACCATAACATGCTCAGGTGTATTTTTGACAGGCACTCACTGGAGGTAAAAATCAAGAGGTATAGAGAATGGCGAACATACTACCAAATTTTAATACCTTACCTGTTTTGTTTGGTTGGTTTTAGGGAAATGGCCCCTCCCCCTCC